CTCATCAGCTATTTTACATGGCATGTGAAGCAAGACAGAAACATAGCACAGCATAAAAATAACAAGAGCTGCCATCTATGGAATGATTACTATGTACAGTATACTATGCTATGCACTTTACATTTTTTATAGTATATCCTAACGACAATCATTTTACATAATAAAAAAATAAGGCTCAGGTTAATTTAGTAAAATGAGTTAAGGATTACAGAAAAACACATTGAAACTTAATCCAATATTCTCCTTTACTTAAAAAAATATTAGAGGTAGAATGTGGAAAAAATTGATTTCTCATGGATGACACAGAATTATTAGTTGGAACTGCCCTTTGATAAGTCCATCAGAATTTTGTATGGAGGCTAACAGAGCACTTGACTATTATGGTTAGATGTTGAGCTGAATTTACAGAGGGAAAAACTAATCTGTGCTAGCCAGGTCAAAATCAAATAATAGATTTTAAAACAATACTATAGCAATGTAATTCCACTAGTAGAACATGACACTAGAATATTTGCTAAACTAGTATTTTGAAGTGATAATTAAGAGACTATGAAATAAAGATTAATGACTAATTCCAAAGTACAGTTGTGTTTCTGTTAAGTATCAGAGGTTGTTAGGAATTAACTCATTTTTCTTGTTTAGAAGATAAATAAATTTTACCACTATAAAGGCTGAAAGAAAATGCATAAATGCATTACCCTACTAGATATAGATATAGTAAGTCAGGATGTATGGTAGCTATAGAGGAAATAAAAAGTCTTTGTAACATCAAAACACTTTATTCTTAGAATCGATGGAAAAAATTTTTTCTTAGAGGGGCACTTCAAGTTGTCCCTAAGCGGTCATAATAAAATCTAATAGTTTTCAATTCAATGAGGAAATTAGCATTTTCAAGGAACCATGAAAAATATGTTAGGTTAAGAATATTCTTATGATGCGCTGCAAGTTTTACACCATGGCAAAGATATAGAACACATATACTATTTTGAAAGTATTGTTTAAGAGTTCTGTCTGATAAAATAAATACCTACTAAATGCCTTTCCTTGACAAGAGTAAACTTGAGACTTAGGTTTGAAACATTTGGAATCTAAGACTCTCCAAAAAGAATAGTGATTCTTCCACCAACCAAAAAATCCTTATGAGTCAATAACAGTCACTTTAAAGGGAATCTATTTTAACTTTACATTATCTTTGGCCACGCAAAACTGAATTTCTAGCATTTAAAGGAGAGAATTGATGGCTCTCTTTCAGTAGATGAAAGAGGCGGCTCTTTCTTATTTTGTAAAGAAAACAAATTTAAATTTTGATCAGAATAATTTTATTTACAAAGGCAGTCCAGAGATTTCCCGTGTAGCCTGCACCATTCACCCTATTATTAATATTTTACATTAGTGTGGTAGATTTGTAAATATTAAGAAATCAATATCAATGTTATTAGTAACTAAAATCCATACTTTAGATTTCCTTAGTTCTTATCTAATTTTTTTTTTTCTGTTCCAACATCCCATCCAGGATATAATATATTTAGTTGTTATGTATCCTTAACCACCTCTCGGCTGTGACAGTTGTTTATAGCATGCTCCTCTATTGGAATTTGTGGGATGTTTTTCTCATGATTTGACTGAGTTTATAGGTTTGAGGGAGGAAGGCCACAGAGGTGTCATTTTCATCACATTGTATCAAAGGTATATACTATCAACATGATTTATTACTATTGATGTTGACCTTGATCATCTGGCTGTGCAGTGTTGTCAGGGTTCTCCACTGTAAAGTTACTTTTTTTTTACTTTCTTTTCCATACTTTACTCTTTGGAAGGAAGTAATTTATGTAGCCATGGGGTAGGGAGTTATATTCCTCCTCCTTGAGGGTGGAGTATCTATATAAATTATTTAGAATTCCTCTGTATGGGAGATTTGTCTCTTCTCCACTTATTTATCATTTATGTCAATACGGATATTTACTTTATATTTGGGGTTATAATCCACTACTACTTTGTTTCTACAATTGTTCCAGCTCTGGCCATTGGGGGTTCTTTCAGTTAGAGCCTGTGTTCCTTTGACATATCCTATCTCTGTGTGTGTGTGTGTGTGTGTGTGTGTGTGTGTGTGTGTGTGTGTGTATGCATGCTAAAGCATTTCCTTAATTTCTGGCATTACAGGAGGCTCCAGGTTTATCTTGCACATTTCCACCCTAATCAGTCATTTCTCCAAGGAGCTCTTGTTCCTTTTATTGGAGAATAGTATTAGAACCAAGATCTGGGCACAAAATGTGCTATTTCTACAATATCGAGTCTTCCAATCCATGAACACAAAATATCTCTACATTTACTTAGATCTTATTTCTTTCATCATAGTTTTGTAGTTTCCCTCATATAGACCCTCCATATGTTTTGTTAGATTTATACCTAAGTATTTTCTTTCTTTTTTTTGGTTCTTTTTTTTTTAATTTCACGTTCCAATTGTTCATTGATGGTAGATAGAAAATCAATTGACTTTTGTATGTTAATCTTGTATCATGTGACTTTGCTATAATCACTTATTAGTTCCATGAGGATTTTTTGTAGTTGATTTTTGGGGATATTTTTACATAGACAATTATGTCATCTAAGAACAGTTTTACTTCTTCCTTTTCTTTTCTGGTCTTATTGCACTAGTTTATTGCACATTCCTAGTTGGAACTTGTACCCTGATTAAATAGAAAATGTGCTCTCAGATTTGTGACACTTTGCTCCCAGATAACTTTTTCTCTTTTGTTACCTTCTAGTGCTCATAACTATTACAGGTTTGTAACCATGGACTAACACCTCTTTGTTTCAACCGTTTATGTTGGTTTACACTACCAAATATGTGATGATTTCTAAATCTGTTTCTACTTAGACGTCCTCAGACTCCCCAGAACCCACATATTAAAAACGAAATTATTTTTTTCAAAACCTATTTTTCTTCCACTATTCTTTAACCAACCCAGTTAACACAATTACATTCCTACAATTGTCCAAATTAGAGAAACCCTTGGGGTTACTCTCTCTTCCTTCTTTCTCAGGCTACCCATAGCTTTTCAGTCATGTGCCAAACTATGCCGTATCTTTGCTTTCACTGTTCCCAATATTTTAAATACCTTTCCCTTCTATCTGGAAAACTCCTACTTACTTTCCAAGATGGAGCAAACTTATTCAACTTCTGAAACTACATCTCTTGCCTACAGGAGCATTTAGTTGCTCCTTTCCAGGTACAAGTGTCTCAAGTACATTATATGTTATATGGTATTTATTTACTGCTGATTGTCCCACTAGACTAGGGGTTCTTTAAGGATGGCAATCATGCTTTAGTCTCTTCGTATCAAAGTACTAAGACAAAAAATATGGAACTCAATAAATGTGTCAAATAAACAAATGAATTGTACAAGTCAATGAAAATAAGATTATTTCATATCATAATTTTACCTTTCTGTACTTTTTATATGCTTCAATCTTTAGTAAACCCTCCCCTTTTTTTTCTTTTTTTTTTTTTGCTGGTACTTTATTTTAAATCTTGCACCATAACTATAAAGTTAAGTGGCTTTGTGAAATGAAAAGTTATTGACTCCACTATTAAAACACGAGGGTTTTTACAGATTAATTTTTAAAATATAGGGTGCCAGGTATTAACTCTGAAGAAATATAAAATTATTCCTAAAACAGATCGCCGAGGGGCAACTGAACAGCTGTTAAAAGATTTGGCACATCACTATGCCAACCTGAGTTTAATGACCTACATATGAAGGGCTACATATCCAATTACTAATCCTCTCTCAGCTACTCTTTGCCCTGATATGGATGCAGCTGAAAAAAGGTGCCCTACTAACAAATCGGAAATAGATCCAATGCTCAATTAAGAGATCTTTTAGATCTGAGATGAGAAAGAAACAGAGTGACTCACAACAGTGTTACAGCTGACATAGTTTTTCAAGAAATACTTGAGGGTTTAAAGCAAGAGTGACTTAATTTTTGTGACTAAATTGAGATAAATTTCAAATCTTTTAGAAAACAAATTCTGAATTTAATTTTTATTCATTGAAACCTTTAAAGATCTTCAAATATATTTTCAAATATCAAGAATAATTTACTTCAAAATTGTTTCCATACTGAGATAGCAGTCTATTAATTGATTCAAACTTTATATTTTCAAATTCTGCAGTAATCACCTATTAGAAGTAGGACCGAATAAAAAAGCTAAACAGATAACTACAATCTATGGGATTATGCTTCAGTTCTCCCTCAGTTGACTTGGTCTATATATACCAAAAAGATTACATAAGGTCAAGTATTATAAACAATGAAATTCACCTGATGTTTTGCAAAACAGCATTAGGAAAAATAATTCAAGGAATGAATGGAGAGAAAGATTTCCGGCTGTAAGCAAGAAAAAAGTCCTAAATATTCTAGATTAAAATTCATCTTATGGGCAATTTAACTCACTTTTTAAATTGGATTTTCCCTTTGAATTGTGTAAAACCATGTGATACAACCTCTTTCTGTATAAATTATATTTAGTTTAGGCATTCCTGCTTTCCTCTCATTTCCGACACAGAAGAATTACAAGCCCTTCGTCACTGTTTCGCATTTTTAATATTTAAGAGTAGGAATGTCTTACCCACCCCCAAGCCTCCCACAGGAATATATGAATGAATACCCGCGTAATATGAACGTCCGCAGATACACACGCGCCTTTAAGGGGAAAGCCAAGCATCACTGTAACTACCTCCCACTCCAAAAGCCCTACCTCCTGACTCCGCCCCACGGCGGGTCTGGTTTTGGCGCAGTTATATGACGTAAGGCGTAATCGCCATAGCCTCCTACGTGTAGCTACCGTCCCTGCCTCTGGGAGTTGAAGTTTCCGACGGAGGACTCGGGAGCGATATCTGGACCACTCCAGAAAGGCTTTCTGCGCGTGCGCTCAGATTCCTCGCCAACTCCTCCGCTCGGTAAGTCTCCTGGAACTGAGGCTGGTGCTTGCCTACCCTTTGGTATCCTCGGGGCGCAAAAGGGGCGCGTGCCAGTGCCTCCCTCGACTCGCAACTAGGGCTTCCGGGGAAGAGGGGAGCGGGGTTATGGTAGAGGCAGCTGTAACATCATATAAGTGCGCCCCCGCGGCCCGCCAAGAAGCTCTGTGATTGGCTGGCTGTAGCTTAATCCCGCCTCTGTTGTGCATCCTCTCGAGCGTGGCCTAATTTGGGAAGTGGAGCGAGGCTGTGCCCGCCCGCGCAGTGGGGAGACTGCTGTTCACGTTCGCCTAGGGCTCGGGATCCGACCCCTAGTATGTGACGAGTGAGTTGTCAAACAACGAAGGGAGAGGGAATCCGACTCTGAAGGGCCGGAAACGAGCTCTGCCACTTGGTAGCTAGAGACCTGGGCAAGTCGCTTTACCTCTTTCAACCTGCCTGGTCTGGCTTCGCCTACGAGGGGCCGACGTAGCTGAGCGCTCTGAAAAGTGGAGAGCCCCGGGGAAGGTTGCTGCAGGTGCAGTGAGGCCCCGTGGCGGCGAGCTGAGGACGGTTTTAAGAAGACCGAGGTGTTACTTTATTTCACTGAAATATTTTAAGCGTTAAAACTGGGGCATTCGTGTAGAGATAAAAAGATAGCAACAGATGATTTTCTTACTTTGTGTTAGTTTTTTAAAATCCTCGCTCTCTCCCTATCCCATCTCAGCCCTCTCTGCCCCAAGGGCCTGCAAGCGCTCTCGCTACCGCGGATTCTACCGGCCCGTTTTTAAAAAGGATTTAAAAAGGCATTTCCTTTTAAAAACTTCCTGCCAGGTCCTTTCATTCCAGTCTGTAGTTATTTCAGCATTCGTTTGGATCTTCCTGGAAGGGAATCTGTGTCATAACTTAAAAAGACTGTTTTAGCCCAATCAATAAAATCCGTAAAAGTGTTTTTTTGTTTATTTGTTTTACTTTGGCCATTTACAGATTTTTTATGTGTATTCTCCCTGCCGAAAGTTGTGCTAGGAAGTGGAAATACAAGGAATATTGAAGTACTTTTTAATGTATTCGTCCCACACCAAGTGGCCTTAGTCATCTTTATCCAGTTATTTGTTTATAAGCCCACGTGATACAACCTATTTCTAGGACTAAATGAACCATTTTTGAAATTCTGTGCTTAAATAACCTAAATTTCACATACACATTTCTACAGTTGCTACAAAATATTCTTAAGTATTTTTCAAACACGGTTGAATGAATGAAAATGTACTGTGAGCGTCACTGCACTCGAGGGAGGAACGCAAAACTCTGCCATGGAGCTTGTAAACTGTGGCCAAAAAAATAAATAAGTATACCTAGTAAAACACCGTATATTTGTTAACAGGTAATCCGAACAAGCTAGTGCATAGTGAACTGCTTATTAGTACGGGCAGTGGGAGTTGGTACATATACATATCTTTGTATGTAAAGTGTGCTGTAAGCAATAATTTATAGGGTCTCAAGCTAGCATCTTTTTTGTTGTATTCCATCCGTCCAGGTATCTAGCTTAATCAAAACTTTAAAAAAGTCACTTACTACAGTGCATTTTCTTAATTGGGAAGAGCTTTAAACATAATAAGGATAATGATGTTGACTAGTTTATGACCTTGCTATATATTTGATAGGCTGTTTAAAAACATTAGTATGCAGTGATAGACCAAGTTAAATTTAACTCAGAATTCTTCGATAGACAAGGCAAAAGCTCCCCCTGGTGTACATGAGCTGTAACATTGCTAGACATTACATTTTTAAATTTTCATCTAGAGCCAATCAACACTTGCAGTTTTTGAAACATAATAGAGAACTATCAGAAAATGATAGTTCCAATGATGAATGGAAATAGTCTCTCTTAAAATATTATTGTTTCATGAAGAGAGCAGTTTGTCTCCTGTGAATTTTAATTGTTCTTTTAAGTTTGCATATTTAGCTTAATGGGCAGGTTGAGCTTATGTTTTCACCACCCTGTATTGTTTTGGACACATGCATTGCTGGTTTTTATTTAATGCACTACTTATAGAAATGAAGTAAAATAAAAGTGATCCCAGGAATCACATTCATTGTAAAATGTTCCTCTAATCTTTTCAGGTTTATTGAGTTTCCCGTCTTCCATTTCTTAAATTGGATGCTTACTTTATTTTCCAGTTGTTGTTGTTTTTTAAACTAATGAATGCACTCAAGATTATACATTTATCTTCAATTACCTTTTTGCCTGTATTTCTCTCATTTTGTAATTCAAGTCTTTTAACTGCTCTGACATTTTTTCACTTTATTTCTCTGAATTCAGAGTCAGATTATCAGGATGTCTTTTAATCCATCTTTTACCTCTTGGACTCCAGGTAATCTGGAGTTTGTTTCATCTATTGAAATTTTCATATCTTCATTTCCAAATTGATTCTTTTTCATGGATTCTTGTTTTGCTTTTCTTATGCATGCTCTTGTGTCCCCATTTCCTATTTTGTTTTTATTGTTCTTACCCCTTGTGATCTCTGAAAGATCCCAACCAAACTTATTTTAAAGTCATTTTCACATCACCCTATTATTTTCAATTTGTGTAGAATGAATTAATCTCCTGATTGTTGATTTTTTTTATCATTTCTTTCTGTAATTTTGCTTTGCAGACTCATCTTGACTGGAATTACTACTTTCCCTCTCCAAACCATCTCTCTACTACTGTTTTGTGGTTCTTCCCACTCATGGCCCTGTTCAGTGCTTCAGTCCACAGTAGAGCTTACATAGATGATTTAGAATTCTAATCGTGTAGTGTTATAAATTCATGTCACCTCAATGGCTTGGCCCAGGTTGTAAGCTGAGAGGCTGTGTCTTGCTTGCTTCGTATTCCTCTGCAGTACTCAGCTTCATATAAGCCTTAGTCTAATTTTACCTGTTTTCAGGCTGATTTCATGGAAGGAGGAGCCCCACCCCCAATACTAAGGGTTCATCTTAAACTGCCTCGCATCTCTCTCCCATCTTCTGTCTTTATTATTTTTCTCCCTACTTTAAAGCTAGGGAAACTCCCAGCTGCCTTTGCACAGCGGACCAGTATCTATTCTAGTACTTGTTTTGGGTTTTGAGAGAGGCTATATACCTTTTTTGTTTCCCCTTTTTATATTTTATCACCTATTGTCATATATTTCAAGAGTGCGAGGCAGGGTGCTCAAAACATGAATGGTTGGCAACCATCTCTAGGAAGTCTGTCCCAGTTTTTTTATTTAGTGGTGTAGGAATAAAACTGGAGCTATTTTTTTCTCCTTGTCTTTCAGTGACATACTCAGAGCCATCCAACAGCAAGGTTGAAGCGGCATCACTTTTACATTCTTTGGAAACCTTCATTTTCTAAATAATATTTTGGATTTCTGGGGGATAATAGAGTTAGATCTAGGTTTAAATATTAGCTCCATCATGTCATTCATCTATTCATTCAACAAATATTTTGAGGACCTGTGCTGAATTTGTTCTAGATGCCTTGTTTCTTAGGAATTGTTTAGTAGCTTTGCAATTTGGGGCAAATTATTTAACCTCACTGTGCCGTCTTCCTTTGTAAAGTAGGCATGATACTTTCTACCACGTAGGGTTGTTTTAAGGAGTAAATTAGATGATTTTTTTATTAAGCATAGTAAAAATTAATAAATGTTTGCTACTACTATTTTCATTACTTTTAAAAATCCTTTGTAGTATCATATTCACTCATTTATTCACCAGTATATAATAAGCATCTTTTAAGTGCCAGGCACTATGTTAGTACTGGCAATATAATATACTAGTTGGGCAAAAGCAGACATCATCCTTGCCCATATGGAGTTTTCAGTGGAGAATCAAATTTGAGTTGTCATATCTAGGAGGTGTTTCCCCAAACTAAGGATACAATTTGGTTAGTGATATAAGGAAAACTTGTGAACTCTTACTTCGTTTACCAGATGATTCTTACTCCTTCTTAGTAATTTTGTGACCTAGTAAAATGCCAAGGCTTTTGCTATAGCACACAAAGCACACAACCTTAAAATTTCTTGTCTTTCGGTCAAAATTTGGTAAACTTTCTAAGTTTGCTTAGTTATCCCCATATGTCTTGTTACAACATTGCACTTTTAAAGAAAGCAAGAACAATATAATAAAGTTACTGCTTAAATTATGTTTTGCAAAGGTTTTGTCTGTCTACTATCTGAATTGTGGAGATTTTTCTTTTTTCTTTTAGATATTGGCGTCTCTGCACAGACTTGTTTGATGTTTCTTTAAGAAGGAGGAATCATAGAGTTTTCCTTAAGGACAGTAGAACATTTGCAAGCTTTGTGCTTAGTCTTTAGTAGGAATAAATAATAAATACAGTTTTAAGCTTTGGGTTAATAATCTATCAAAGAGAAAAAAATCTCAGTATTGCTACCCTTTTCACTAATCTGAAGGCAAGTTCAGTTCTAGGCAATAGATACATAGATGAGGGTGGTTAAATCCAAATAAAGATGTTTGAGATGGCCCTAAACATTCCACAACTGATTACAGAATCAACTTACGCATTTTGTTTTTTAACTATGACTAGAGTGGAATATTTACAATTGTATATTTATTGGGGAGGGACAACCAAATTTGTATTCTGCGCTGTTCAAAATATATAAATCTATAGCATATCTTTTGTCAAAAACCAATTGTGAGTTTCCACCCAGATAATGAAAGTAACATTTCCCTCATACTATAGCATTAAAGACAACTAAAAACAAATACTTTCACCTCTTTTAAAAAGTAATATTTTTATAAAACAATATGTTTACATTATAAAATTTAGAAAATGCAGAAAATCATGGGTAAGAATTAAACATGTTTGTATATATGCTTTTTAAAACAGGATTGGACATAATGTATATATTGTTTTTTGTTTTGATTTTCTGATTTAACAACAGTTTGCCTTTATCACTAAATAATTTGGGGGAGCTTATTTTTACTGGATGCTGAGTATTCTCAGCCCATGTTATAGAGGAACTGTAATTTATTTAGTCCCTTTTGCTAACATTCAAGTACTTAACTAATTTTTCATTGTTATAAATAACTGCAGTATACAGTAATACCCCCAATCCACAGTTTTGATTTCCATGGTTTTGGTTACCCTACAGCCAACCACAGTCTGAAAATATTAAATGGAAAATTCCAGAATGAAGCAATTCATAAGGTTTAAACCGCACCATTCTTAATAGCATGATGAATTCTAGTGCCACCCACTCCATCTCACCCAGGATGTGAATCATCCCTTTGTCCAGCATCTCCATGCTGTATATGCTACCTGCCCATTAGTCTACTTATCAGAGAGAGAGAGAGAGAGACTAAATTCACGTAACTTTTATTACAGTATATTATAATTTTTCTATTTTATTATTAGTTATTGTTACTAATCTCTTACTGTGCCTAACTTACAAATTAAACTTTATTGTAGGTACGTATATATAGGAAGAAACACAAAATATATACAATTGGGTACTATCCACCTTTTCAGGCATGCATTGGGGATCTTGGATGTATCACCACAGATAAGGGCAGACTACTGCATACCCTTTTGCATTAATTTCGTGTATATTTCTGATTCATTTACAGGAATTCTAAGAAAATAAATTATTGGGTCAAAGGGTATCAACATTTTAAAGCTCTTGAAACATACAGATTGTGTAGTCTTCTGGAAACATTGTGCCATGACCACCAACAGTATATGAAAGTGCCCATTTCGTCACATGATCTTTACCAATAAATGACATTTAATTTTCTAAACTTGCATTATTGTGCATTATTGATAAGGTTTAATTTTAATCACATCTATTGGTTTTTTTTTTACTTTTATCTGTGTTTATGAATCATCTGTTCATGTGAAAAGTTGCTTTTGAATTTTTCAGAGGCATCATATAATGTCATCTGAAATGTTGCCAGCATTTGTTGAGACTTATAGTGTTGAAAGAAAACAAGACTTAAGTGAAGATCGGGAGGAGAGCCAGAAACCAAGATTAGGTAACAACATTGAACCAATATCTAAACGACAAATGAAGAAGCTAATAAAACAAAAACAATGGGAAGAACAACGAGAACTCCGCAAGTATGTTTCAAAATGAGTGTACTCTACCCCTGTGCAGAAATATGGAATGTTGGACCTTTCCTAGTCCTTTGATACATTAAAAGTGATTGTGTTAATTAGAATTGGTGCTATGTATTGTTAGCCAACACTGTCAGTTGGCTGTTAAAACTGTATGCTTTTATTTGTTTTTTAGCAGTGTTGGTAAATTTACACCGTCCACTTTTTCTCACCCAGAACCTATGATGAGTAGCAGCACAATTTTTGAAACAACTGACTTAGGAAAGGGATATAATTAGCATCTATGTCCTAGATATGGAACAAAAATAACCACCTCAGAAAGATCAAATTTGGGCCTAACATTGATTTTGCTAGAACTGTTGCAGGTTTTGTTGAGAACAGTTAGGCTGAAGCTGTTACTGCATGATGCCAGAATTTACTGGGAGAAAATAAACTATAGTTGATGCAAATTAGAGAAAAAAATATATGAGATTTTAATTTTTTCACTAGCAGTTTTACTTTGCTTTTTTCCTATCCCATATAAATATTGCTTGAATATCATGTAAGGGAAGAATGATAAAAGTAAAATTCATCGTAACTCTCAGACTATGTATTTATAAAGTTTTCTTAGCTTAGTATGATACCAATAATAAATGAATTTATCAGTAGTAGTGTTAGGATTTGTGTATAAAGCACTATATTATTTTTACAAACTTATTTCCTTCCTATCCAAAGTGTTTAGGTAGACTTTATAAAGTTGCTGGCATTTGACCAATTTTGGTCCACAGAAATGGCAGTTTGATATGGTTCAGTCTGCTAATTTAAAAAAGTGATTCTTTGTCTATTTAAAAGAGCCTTGTAAGTATGTGAATATACAAATAACAACCGTTATTTGAATTCCTAATTTTAGACAAAAACGGAAGGAAAAACGCAAGAGAAAGCAATTAGAGCGACAATGTCAACTGGAATCAAACTCAGATGGAAATGACAGAAAACGTATTCGAAGAGATGTTGTTCACAGCACACTTCGCCTTATCATTGACTGTAGTTTTGACAGCTTGATGATATTAAAGGTATCATGAATCATTGTCAGGAAAATCCTGTAGGTAAACTAAGCTGAATAATCTTATTTTAATATGTAATATCACTTTGATATAAATTTATGTACTAAAATGCATCTTAAATCAAGTTTTTCAAAATCTGTGCCCCCTAAATTAAACTAGCTAATAAATTGCTTTTATGTATATGCATATGCGTATGTATATATATCAACATAGGGAGAAAAACAAACACCATAATTAGATTATAAAACTCAATAATTGCATATTAATTGTAAAGGTCTATGAGTGTTTTTGTTATTTGTCCTAATCAAAAATAATAAAAAATATGATTGGCTTAATAGAGTTATTTCTTATTTAAATAATTTGAGAAACCTGGTTGTTTGAACAATGCTAGTCAAGAGAACATGCTTTAATTACTCTCCAAACCATTGGTAAGTTATGAAAATAGTAATAGCATGGCACTAAGAGTTTTTTTCTTTTGCTGACTCTTAAGAAGAGCAAATGTTTTCACCTGACATTTTAAGTGAATACAAAATATGAAATAATGGGTCACTTACAGAGTATTGATTTTACTTAGGGTAATTATTAGTATGTAAGGAAATTGAATAGAAATTATCAGAAAGGACTTGTGTCTCAAAAGAAAAATATGTACTTGTCTAGTCATCCCTTCTGCTTATTCCATTCCACTAAGATTGTGGAACAGCCATAGATGATTTTTAAAATGTGGCTTTAAAAATTGCACTCTTTTATAGGACATTAAGAAACTTCATAAGCAGATTCAACGATGTTATGCAGAAAATCGACGGGCACTGCATCCTGTGCAGGTATGTGTGAGGAATTTAAAACAGATTCCAGTTTCCTTTTATATCTTCCTCGGGAAAAGGCATAGATAGTCCCGGCTGCCTTTATAAGAATCTTACAGATACTCTTCCTTAGAGAACGAAATTTGAAATATTTTATTTTCTACAAAAATAAAGTAAAATATTTTAAACATTTTTTTCACACTTGCCATTCTCAGCCACAGCCCAGTCATCGTAATTCTCTTACACATTTTCTCATTGCTGTGTAGATGCTCATCTTCGTTAAAGGATAGACACATGCTTTCATGCCAGTTTCTCAGCTCTCGTTTCTTCCCTTCTGGGGAATGGGGTAACTGCCCCAGCCTGCTGTGTGCTATGGTGCTATGGTTGGTAGGTTTCTTTCTACTGAAAGGATTTGGAGTCACTGATAGTTATGAAAGGTACTTCCTTAGTTCGAGTCAGGGAGTGCTTTGTGAGACTAGTTGCCTGCTGTTGAAAGTAGGGTCTTTTCCTTATTGAATTTGTTTGAATTCTAGGTGACCTAAAATTAACACTATCTGACTGATGTTGAGAAACAGGAACTCTTATTATGTTTTTGGTTAGGTATTTTCATCAAGTGATCATAATTTTATATTTTTACATTTTATATTCTTCTCACCCTTGATTAGACATGAAATAGGTGTCAGGGTTTAGAATCAAAGGAAAATTATCAAGACTTCTGACTGGTAAAAAGTAACAGTGATGGCAAAAGAAAGAGAATGAAACTTGACATGGAAGCAGGGAATCTGTAGAACAGTAATTATTAATTAAGAAGCAGAGTATAGCACTTGAAAATGGGATGAAAATGTAGATGGAATAAGGAAGTTAGTGAGTTATGAAATACACAAAATATGTCATTTCTACCACAAATTCTTGTATATTTAAAGCATTTCACAAATTTATTTTTTCTAGAATGAAAATTTTGTGTGTGTTTCATTGATGATCAGATGAGTATATGAGGAAAATAAAATATTATACATAATAGTCTTTTGCTCTCCCTTTCTATGCCTCCCGATCTCTTTATCAGTTTTACTTGACAAGCCATGGAGGCCAGTTGAAAAAGAACATGGATGAAAATGACAAAGGATGGGTCAACTGGAAGGTAAACTCTCTGAAATTCCAAGTATGTTTATGCTTAAAGGTCTACATGTTTAACCTAAATTCTACATCATGTTACTACATACATGAGTCAGCGATCTCCAAACCCTGTGTATCACTGTACCTAAGTTGAAGGTGACAAATGGGAGAAGCTAAAGAGACTGAGATGTCTGTTAGTTTGTCCTTGTCCTCTTTAAATCTCCCTTGCTATTTTACCACCAATTTTAAAACATATTTTTTAAAAAAGGAAAAATTTCAAGTGTCTTTATATGGTCTCTACACAGCAAACTGGCCATACATTCTTTATTAGAGTGGAGTCACTCTAAAATTTGGAAATGTACTTGCATTCTGTTTCTTCTAAATCTGTGCCCTCCTGTATGGTGTCCACTTTCCACATATGGCTGTTGAACTCTTGAAATGTGAGTGGTCTGAACTGAGATGTGCTATAAGTGTGAAATTATACATTGGATTTTAAAGACTTAGTACCAAAAAAAAAAAAAAGAGGATGTAAAATACCTCCTTGAAATTTAAAAAAATATTTGTTATATTTTGAAATGATAACATTTTGGGTCTATTGTATGTAATGTAATGTATTATTAAAATTTCACTTATTGTCACTTTTTTAATGTGGCTACTAGAAGACTTAAAATTACATATGTGGCTCACTTTTTTTTTTTCTTAGTAGGACTAAACCATTCTCAGTCATTTACCAAGATGACTAATATTGTGTTGTCGGAAAAGTCATATGCATGTTTGTGACAGATGGCACTAGTTCATTTTTGGAAGTACTAGAGTCATTCGCATCTATGTTATTGCTATGTCATTTGACAGCTGACAATTCTAGCTCATTCTTAAAAAAAATTGAGCTATTTGGTTGAGTTTTGGAGATTTTATAACAAGTTGAAGATGGAAGACCGACCTGTACATTTTTTCCATATTTTACTGTTTTACTTCCATAAAGGGAAGAACGCACGTCAAGCTTGTGAAAAGAAGCATAAAGTTTACGGTGACAATACTCTATAAGAATGTCAGTGCCAACGATGGTTCACGAAATTCCATGCTGGTGATTTTTATCTCAACAACACTCCTCAGTCAGGGAGGCCCACCAAGGTTGATGATGACAAAATAAAGGCATTGATCGGGTCAAACCCATGTTATACAACACGAGAGATAGCGGAAACATTGAACATCCATCATTCAAGCGTTCAAAACCACCTGAAGCAGCTGGGATATGTAAGCAAGCTCGATATTTGGGTTCCACATGAACTCAAAGAAGTTCATTTGATGGCGTGTATAAACATCTGCAATATGCTCATTAAACATGAGGAAAACGATCCTTTTTTGAAGCAACTGATAACTGGTGATGAGAAGTGGATTGTTTACAACAATGTGGTGCGCAAACGGTCGTAGTCCCGATGTGATGATTCATCTCAAACGATATTGAAA